GTGGTTGCCAGGGATTTGGCGGGAGGGTGGGAGGGAGCTGCCCTGTGTGGCCGCTGGGAGCACGGAGGGACCTGAGGAGAGTGTCAGCTCGGTGAGACACGTTAGGTCAGCCAACGTGTGTCCGGGAAGGTCCCAAGTGGGCATCCATCCTGAGCCCTCACAGAGTTCAGGCCATTCAGAGGGCCCACACTGTGGGCTCGCGGGCCTGGGCAGAACACGGAGCCCCACACTGAGGCCCGGGGCAGTGACAGCCCACCTCAAGGCTGCAGTGGGATTGGAGGTGGGATGTGTCACCCAGGAGCGCGGGGCGGGCAGGAGGGCAGTCATTTTGTCCCTTCTGCTCCTGACGGGACAGGAGGCTGTAGGGTGGAAGGGAGGAGGGGCAGTGCGCAGAGGGGTGGGTAAAGCTCAAGCCCACATTTCAGGCTGGACACAGGGTCCAGGCCAGAGAGAACCAGATGCCTGGCAGGTGCCGTTCACAGAGGTGTGGGGTCAGAGGTCGTTGGGGGCGGGAGGGAGCTGTCAGGTCCGGGCTGGGTCTCTGACAGGGAAGCGCGCTCGTGGTTCCCACGCGAGCTGCTCCACGAGCGCGTGGCGGCCGGGGCAGCAGAGCCCGCTGCCCCCACTCGGCACCCGGAGCTGTCCCCGGCGGGCCGCACAGTGAGCTGGGATGGTGTGGGGGGCTGCTGCTGTCCTGTGCTGAGCCCTGTTCCCCAGTGGGACCAAGCGTGCAGTCTGCCCTCGGTGCTCTTCTGAAACAGACGTCAGATTTGATCAGGGACCCTGAAATGGGAGTTCGAGCGTGTCGGGGGACATTCAGTTGTTTCATTGTTATTCTAGGAAGAACTTAAGCACTTTGAAGCCAAGATTGAAAAGCACAACCACTATCAGAAGCAGCTGGAAATTTCCCATCAGAAGCTGAAGCACGTGGAGAGCTTCGGTGACCCGGAGCACATCAGCCAGAACAAGGAGAGGTACGCCCTGCTGGAGGAGAAGACCAAGCAGCTGGGCTACAAGGTGCGTGCGCGCCGGCCGGCCTCCCGGGGGGCGGGCCTGCCACGGTTACATCCTCGCCAGGCTGCCGGCCCCTAGCCCCCTGACCCCATGTGTGTGCCTGGCCACCCCTCCCTGAGCCTTGGTTCCCTTCTGCAGACGGAAGGCGATCGTCCCAGCGTCGTGGATCTTGGTGGGGGCTTCAGGCATACAGCCACACACCTGCTTCCACAAGGGGGCTGCACAGCCCTGAAGGGGGTTGGGGCTAGGCCATCACTCTGGGGGGCTGGGGAACAGGGGCTCCCCACCCCCCACCCCCAGCCATCTCTGGGCGTGTTCAGGGCCAGGACACCTGTCTGCACTTGTGCTCTCAGCTGGGTGACCGGGCAAGAGGTGTGGGCAGTGGGGGCAGGCTGGCCTGGAGCCGGGCTCTTCCAGCCACACAACTGGTATCCTGGCCCTGGAATGTGCAGCCAGGCCCTGGTTCTGAGTGTCCTTAATTCCTGCCAGCTGCCTGAGGTGCCTTTGGAGCCTCCGTCGGGCACGCAGGTGGCAGTGGTTTCCCAAGAACTCGGTCTAGGGCTCGTGGACATCACACCTGGTTCCATAGGAAGCAGGGACCATCTCAGGGCAGCAACAGTTGGCCCAAGCGGGGTCACTCCTCGTGTATGGCTCAGCAGGGCTCATGGCTACCCCAGATGGGGGCGTCAGCTCCACTGTGGGGTGATGTTGGCACCCCAGGCAATGCACAGAGGTGTAGGACAGTTCGACTGGAACACCCCTCACAGGGGAGGTGGGGGGCACCTGACCTGGCAGGGCTGTGGGAAATAGCCACTGCCCACCCTACCACAGTCATTCATGGTGAACCCACAAATCGGGGCACGTTCCAGGCATTAAGGCGTGAGGGGGCCCATCTGCAGATGGGCCTCTGGTTGAGATTCAGTGAGGACAGGAGGCAGCAGGCAGTGTGGACACTCTGGTACCAGCACGGGACGCTGCTGCACGTGCACAGGGAGCTCTGAAAGCAGGGGCTGGGCTGCACTACAGGGGCGCACTTCTCACTCAAGACTAAATCGAACTTTTAAACAAAAGAAGGTAGAAGTAGCAAGAAGGACGGGTGTGTGGATCTGCTCCTGCACTTGGCAGAGGGGAGTGGAGAGAAGCCAGGTAACCCGTGTTGAGACACGCAATCTTAAACTGACACCACGATACAAGAATCTGCAGGGGAAATCGCTGTGACAGGCAAGGGTGCGGGTGGGCGGGTGCGCTGGCTTCCCTGACCAAGGGCGAGGGCACGTCGGTCAAGAAGTGCGTGTGAGAAGCTCAGGTGGCTGAGTCTTCCACGTGAGACAAGACGCCAGAACCCTCCCAGAAGAGCGCGCGGGCAGAGCGTCCCTGACGCGAGCCCCAGCCGGGCTGCCCGGGCGGCAGGCGGGAAAGCGAAACTAAGCAAGTGGGGCCTGAGCTGAATTTACAAGCTTTTGCAGAACCAAGGACACCGTAAAAAAAGACAAGACGAGACGACCTACAGAATGGGAGAAAATGTTTGTAAATATGTGACTGACAAGGGATTAATCTCCAGAATATACAAACAGCTCATACGACTCAGTAACAGAAAGCAGCCCAGTCCAAGAACGGGCAGAGGGCCTGAAGAAGCAGTTCTCCCGTGAAGACATGCACACAGCCAGTGGAGTACGTGAAAAAATGCCCGGATCGCTAATCATCAGAGAAACGCATATCAGAACTACATGAGGTGTCACCTCACACCAGGCAGAGTGGCCATCATGAGAAAGGCCACAAGCGATAAATGCTGGAGAGGCTGTGGAGAGAAGGGAGCCTCCTGCACTGCTGGTGGGAATGCAGTTTGGTGCAGCCACTATGGAAAACAGTGTGGAGATTCCTCAAAAGACTAGGAATAGACTTAGCACATGACCCATACGTCCCACTCCTGGGCACATATCTGGAGGGACCTCTAATGCGACAAGACACGCGCATCCCACTGTTCACAGCAGCACTGCTCACGATAGTCGGCGTGGAAGCACGAAGTGTCCATTAGCAGAGGGCTGGATGAAGAAGCTCTGGTACATTTATACGATGGAGTACTACTCAGCCACAAAAAAATAAAGTAACGCCATTTGCAGCAGCATGGATGGACCTGAGATTATCATACTAAGTGAGCTAAGCCAGAAAGAGAAAGAAAAGCACCATATGGTATCACTTACATGCAGAATCTAATTTTTAAAAAGGACACAAACGAACTTATTTACAAAACAGAGATAGACTCACATAGGAAACAAACTTACAGTTACCAGAGAGGAAAGAATGAGGAGGAATGAATTAGGATTTGGGATTAGCAGATACAAGCGTCTCTATGTAAAACAGACAGCGAAGTCCTGCAGTACAGCACGGGGAACTCCTCATGACGGCCTGTACTGAACAGGAACGTGTATGTGTATAACTGACTCACTGCCGTGCAGCAGAAACAACATTGTAAACCGACTAGACTCCAATTAGAAAAGTGTGTGTGAGGGACTGGCGCTCCATGAGGAGTGAGGTGGCGGGGAGCAGCCCCGGGGAGGCTCTGGCTGAGAGCACCCCGGCTTCCCGCCCGGCCTGTGCTCCTGGGTGCGGCCAGCAGGGCTCCAGGAGGGCTCGGGGAAGGCCTCAGGCAGAGCGGAGCCCTGGGCCTCCTGCCATCGTGTGACCAGGACAGAAGCGGGAGGAGCCGCAGACAAGTCGGTGTCTTTTGCTGCTTTTGGAATGACACAGGCACGGTAGTCAGCCCACCACGGCGGAAGGGCCCCCGCAGCCCGTGTAGGGGACATCCCCAGAGTGCAAGCTCTGGTGACTGGACGGGACCATGCTGCTGGGCCCTGAGGGATGCCTGCTACGTTAAGACCACTTCCCCGAGATCGGGAAACAGCCGACCTGGCTCGTGCACAGAAATAAACACAGAACTAGGCACTGGAGACAGAGGAACGTGTTCCAAACAAACGAGATAAAACCCCAGAAGGACGCAGCAGAGGCGGGGTGGGCAGTCTGCCTGCTGTGGAGGTCGAGCTGGCGTCACAGCGATGCTCAGTGAGCTCAGGGCAGGGGTGGGCGGTCAGTGAGGAGTCCACCGGCTGGAAGATGCATGCGGACACCAGCAGCAGCAGGACACAATACCTGAACTGCAGGACATGCTGCAAGGAGTCAGCAGTGCGCTAGGGGGCACAGGAGCGGAAGCGAGGCGTGGCGCTCACTCAGGCTGAACAGAAAAGGGAGACTGCTCGTGAGGACAGTTTGAGGGACCTGGGGCAGCGTCAGGCCACTAACCTTCAAGGTGTAAGGGTCCCAGAAGGACGACAAGAGGAGCGATTTACCCAAAGAAGTAAGAGTTGAAAACAGACCCAGGCCCGGGCAGCGCAGAGCCCCGCACGACGAACCCACAGCGGCCCATGCAGGGCGCGCTGCAGCTACAGGGGCAGGAGTCAGAGACACAGAATCCTACAAACAGCAAGAGAAAGGGAGCGCGTTACATACGAGGGAGTCCCCGTGAGGCTGTCGGCTACTTCTCAGCAGAGAGCTCTGCAGGCTGGGGCGGGGGGCGGGGGTGGTCAGAGCGATGAAAGGAAGCTGCCTACGACCACGAACGCTGCCCCGGCGAGGCCCCCGTGGGCGTGCCGGGGACGGGCGGGCTGTCGCAGGGAAGCAGAGGGACAGGAAGAGCTTCTGGCCTCCCAGGACACGATAGAGGGAGCTGTCTGTGCACGTGGAAAAGAGAACACCACAACTGAAAATAACGAGAATCACGAAAGGAAAAACCTCACTGGGGAGGCAGGTGCTCGGTGACGGCAGGAGAGCGTTCACCTACCTACCAACTAGGAGGAGCGCTGAAAGCCAGCGGTGGCAGGCGCTTGGCTTTTGGCTTGGAGGAGGCCAAGGTGCAGCTTCCTTTGGTCGTCCCAGATCCGGGTTCGTCTGACACCAGCCCCCTCCACCGTGCCGCCTAAGTTCAACCCCAGTGAGCGCAAAATCGTGTACCTGAGGTGCACCGGTGGGGAAGGCGGTGCCACATCCACCTTGGCCGCCAAGATCGGTCCCCCCGGATCTGCCTCCAAAACAGACTGTGTGATGACATCACCAAGGCAATTGGTGATTGAAAGGGTCTGAGGATTCCAGTGAAACTAACCATTCAAAACAGACCCAGATTGAGGATGGTGCCTTCTGCTGCCGCCCTGATCATCAGAGCCCTCAAAGAGCCCCCGAGAGACAGAAGGAAGCAGAGAAGCACGAGGCACGATGGAAACATCACTTTTGATGGGATTGTCAACAGTGCCCGACACACGAAAAAAGAGCAGGAATTCATAACAGGGAAGACGGTCACCAGAGCACAAGGGAAGAGAGCCAAGAACAAAACGAGCTACAAACCCACCAGGAAACAACTAACAGAACGGCAGTAGGTGCGCACCTGTCAGTAACCGGACGTACGCGGACTGAGGGCCGCAGCCGAGGACGCAGACCGGCTGAGCGACCGCAGCAACAAGGCCACGCGCCTGCCGCCTGCAGGAGACTCGCTGCAGACGTGGAGACTCGGCACAGCGTGGGGAAAGGTGTCCCGCGCAACTGGAGGTCAGCCAGGGCAGCGGTACTCGCACCAGACAAAACCGACTTCAAACAAAGACTAACAAGAGGCAAGGGTGGGCATTGCCTGCCGGGATCAACCCAGGAAGAAATGGAGCAGCTGTCAGCGTGAGCACACCCAACCTGGGAGCAAGTAAACGCGCGTAGAAGGAGGCAGTGACCCGAGAACAGTGCGGGACCCCAGCCCCCCACTTACAGGGACGGACAGACCCCCAGGCAGGAAGCCCCCGAGGCACATTGACCAGATGAGCGTTCTAGATGTTCATGGGACATCCCATCCAAAAGCAGAATGCACATTCAAGAGCACGGAACGTTCGCCGGGAGAGGTCCCCTGCTAGGCCACAGAGCAAGCCTTGGTAAATTTAGGAAAACTGAAGTCATGTCAAGTGTCTTTTCCAGTCGTAACACTGAGGCTGGAAATACTTCAAGGAAAAAAACAGACGTGTGGAGGCTAAACAGTTCACTACCAAACAATCAACGGATCGCCAGAGAGATGAAAAGTCAAAAAGTCCTGGAGACCAAAAACAAGAGCACTTGCCCAAATCCAGGGACGCAGCAGAAGCAGCTCAGAGAAGGGAGTCTGTCGTGATGCGGGCCCGCCTCAGGAGATGCACGTCTTGAATAAACAGTCTAACCTTTCACTTAAAGGAATCAGCGAGAGAAAGGCAGACAAACCCAAAGTTAGTAGAAGGAAAGAAATCGTAAAGATCAGAGCAGAAATAAATGAAACCAAGACTGAAAAAAAAAGAAAAGATCAACGAAACTGAGAGCCGATCCTTCGGAAAGGAGTGCAGAATCAAGGCGCCCTCAGCCAGACTCGTCGGGAGGGACCCGGAGCCCCAGTCCGCAGAGTCCGGGTGGGAGGAGGGCGTGGGGGCGGGAAGGCCTCCTCCGCCTGCGTCCAGTGTTCCTCGGAGGCTGTTCCTAGTTCGTGAGCTGCTTCTGAGATTTAGTCACGACGGGGTCCGGGGGGCAGGGGGTGGGAGAGTGAGCTAACCAGGCTCGGGAGTTCACTGCCGGGCCAGCGTCTCGGGCCGGGGTGAGCGGGTCTCCTGACTGCTTTGCCTGTGTTTTCTCCGCAGGTGAAGAAGCACCTGCAGGACCTGTCCAGCCGGGTCTCCAGAGCGCGCCACAACGAGCTCTGAGCCCCGGGAGCCTGGCCGCAGGACTCCTGAAGACAGCCAGTGGGGGACGGGCCACAAGGGTCCCGAGCGAGAAGAGGAGCTGCGTGACCCCCACCTCCCCCTGGCCAGCACGGCCCCGCCCGCAGCACCGCTGGCAGTCACCTCTGTCAGGAACGCTGATTTCCAGCTGCCCGTGCTGCAGGGCCAGTTTGCATCAAAACCTTATCAGTCTGCTGCTGGAAACGGTGTGTCCAGAAGTGCTCAGAAATACACTGCAGTGGTCAAGTCCTGAGCTTGTTGGTGTCACTGGTTCCTGTTTCACTGTCTGCTGGGCTGGTGACTTCAGTCACAGGTGTGGGCTCCCGAGGCCCCTCTTCCGTCGCCCCCTCCCCCAGCTTCTCTGTGGCATGAGATGGAGGAAGGGGTCATGGACGTGGCTCAGCCTCCCTGGTCAGGCGGCGGCGAAGGCAGGGTGGGGACGCGGCGCCGTGGCCTCTGAGCCGAGCCCTCGTGGGGCTGCCTTTCTCCTCCTGCCCCCACAGGACGGGCTCGGGAGCAGCCCGCGGGGCTCCATCCAGCGGAAGTGCCTGGTTCTCGCTGCAGGAGGGCTCGGGCCCAAGTCAGGGATGGGTCCACAGCACACCTGGGTCCTGGAGGCTCCGCTGGGCGCTGCCTTCCCGCGTTGGCCTCATCAGATCTCAGCACCAGCACTGGGATCCGCTGAGCACGGGTTTCCTGTTGCTGTTACAAGAAGAGGCAAGGCCAAGGGCACCGTGGCGGGACTGTGCAGGGTGTTGCGAGCACAAGCGGGGAGGCGGCCCCACTCCTCCCTGGGTCGTGGGGCCTGCACCGCCCCTGTGCCTGGGCCTTCACGTCCTGTCTGCCACCACCCAGGCCAGCTGCCACGGGCAGGGCTGGGGTGACTGCACGGAGGCACGTGTGCGAGGCTCAGGGGAGAGCTGCTCTTGCGGGGCTGAGAGCCCCCATTTGCCTGCAGGGCCTGGCCCTCATGGTTCACGGCAGGGGCGCTGCCAGGCCTGGGGAGGCTGGCACTGGACATGGAGGCCGACAGAGAAGGAGCCTCAACCAGTCCGGCCTCTGAGGAGCTGACAGCCCAGAGAAATGGCCTTCAGACCGGAGCAAGAGAGAGGGACGGGCCTTCACTGTCGCTCGCCGCCTCCAGCCCTGGGGGAGGTGGGTGAGGAGGACCCCCCCCCAAGTCAGGGGCAGTGGCTGCACTGTTTGTAGCTTCTAAATGATCCCTTTGAAGTAAAACGTACGTTCGCTAAAGGGCACAAGACATACGCCTGGGGCTCAGGGAGATGTCCCATGCCCGTGTGGTGGGCCCACCCAGCCCAGGAAGCGCAGGGGACCAGCGGCCCTGGGCCCTCCTTTCTCCTGTAGCCAACCACTGGCTTGTGTTCCCCAAATCCGTGGGTTGGAACCTAATCCCCAAGGTGACGGTGCCTGGAGGTGGGGCCTTTGGGAGGTCATGAGGTCGGGGTCCTCACAAGTGAAATCAGTGCCCTTACAAGACGACCCCAGAGCTCCCTCACCCCTGCCACTGTGCAGACTGCCCCCCGGCGCCCAACCTCCCACGCTGTGGCCACGGACGTCCGCCCCCAGGCCTGGGAAAGTGAACCTGTGCTGCTTCATTCCTGTCTGCGGTGGTCCATTATAGGGGACTAGGAGACCGCCCTTCAAGGTCGGGTTTCCCTGTCTGACCTTCACAGACGTGGAAGTGTGCTGGGGGGTGGTCTGTGTTCGTGTTGTCCGGGTTTTAGCAGGCGTGTTGCTGAGATAACGCCAGCGGAAGTTTGTTCCTTGGTGTCATCCCTTTGTGGGAGGCTGTCACACTTTCTCGTCCGTTCTGCTGTTGATGGAGATGTGCCATATTTCCAGTTTGGGGTGGTGACAGCAGTTGGAACGCGCGTTTTCAGATGCTGAGTAGTGGTGGTGGGTCCTGCTGTGTGCGTTCGTTCAAACACAGCAGGTGATTCCAGATGCCTTTCCAAGGGGAGGCGCGCATTCCCGCTGCGGCCGGGCGGAGTGAGTGCTCTGTTGCCAAGCCTTGGTGTTCAGCTTTCACCTTGGACGTTCCTGCTGGTGTTGGCAGTGCCTACTTAGACAGACGCTTGTTAAATTTGAGGTGGTTTTGTGGCGGGGAGGGAGCACGTTCACAGAAAATAGCCCAGGTCTTAAGTGTGCAGCCTGGGGGACGGTGCTGGCGGTGGTAATAACCTGTGTGGCCGCTACTCAAGAAGAGACTCAGTGTTGCCTGTGCTCCGGAAAGCCGTCCTCACCCAGGCCACCGCCTTGTGACCATCCCCTCCTTCTGCCTGTCCCTGCGTTTCCCATAGTGGAGCTAGACCGTGTGTGTCCGGTGTCCCTGGCCCGGCACGTGCGCTGCCTGCGTCAGCGGTGGGGTCCCTGTCCTTGCTGACGGGCGTCCTGGTGCACAGACGGCACCGTCTGGGGAAGGCTGGCCCTTCAGCTGTGTTGGGAGGCCAGGCCCCCTCTCCGGGGCGGGGCGCGCGTCTCCCGGACGCCGTCCCGGCGCGGGCTGCTGCCTCTGCACGGCCTCGCACGCTTCCGTTAGGTCCAGTCCCGGCACACGGTGCTCTGCGCTCGCGCGGGTTCTGTATTTCATCTTCCGATTGTTTGTTCCACGTAACAACCTCGCGTCCTCTACCCTAAATTCACGCCTGTTCTGTCATCTGTGGGGGCGTCCGCACTGGCCGGGTCGCCAGGCCGCCGAGGACAGCGGTGGCGGAAGGGGGCGCCCGCACCTTCACCCACGTCCGCGCGCTCGCAGGTGAGGGCCCTTTTGGGGAAAGCAGAGGTGCCGCCCTCGTCTGCCAAGTGTGCCATCGGAGGTGGTGGAGGACTTCGCACGCGTCTGTTGGGGAGGTTGTGAAGGCTTGCCTGCCCCTCTGCCGGGCTGGCGTCGCCTCGCGTCGCTGGGTAAGTCGCACGGGTCGTGCTGACTGGCCCTTTTCTGTGGCCAGAGGAGACGCGCTGCTGCTGGCTGAGCACTCCTGCACGCGCCCTCCCGCGGGGCTCTGGCCTGTGCTCTCCCTCTGCCTGTCGGTGAAGCCTCACCCACAGGTGGGGAGAAGTGGCGCTGCTTCTGTCTTAAATGCGCAGTAGGGTTGACGGGTGAGGCCGTCCAGGCCTGGGACTTCCCTCGTGATGAGGTCCTTACTATGAGTTCAGTTTTTAAAAACAGACAGGAGGCTGCTTTGATTTTACAGTTCTTTTGTGTTTTTTAAAGGTGTGTTTGTCAAGGAATTCCATCTAAGTTGCCAAAATAACTGGCGTTAGTTGTTGAAAATACCCTTTTATCTTCTCACTGCGTGTGGAATCTGTGGTGAGCCCCGCCGTTCGCACGCCCGCCCGGTGCTGGCGGTCCGGGCGGTCCGGGCGGTCCGGGCGGTCCGAGCGCTCGC